AGAGAGAGAGAGAGAGAGAGAGAGAGAGAGAGAGAGAGAGAGAGAGAGAGAGTACATAATGTGGTTGATGAAGTTTGCTATTTTTTCAATGACTAATTTGACCTGTGGTGTATATCAGGGCAAGTGTGTGACGAATCAGACATTTCTCTTTCTAATACTTCCTGCCTGTGGTTCACCTAGAAGATTCAATCATCTACAACAGGAGCCGAAAACGATCCCAAGGTTGTATTGCACGCTCTTAATGAATGCCATCATCATCATCATCATCATCATCATCATCATCATCATCATCATCCAGTGCCAGATCTGCGACAGACATCGGCGATCATGGTTCTCCATTCATTCCTTTGCTCGGATGCTCTCAAAAAAGCTACGTTTCCCTGATCTTTCCCCGTTACCCACTTGTTTAGGTTCCCTAATGAATATCATTTTGTAATACTATCTTATGTCGTGGTGACGATGGCTGGTGGAGAAATAAAGACAATGTCAAAGATTGTGATTCCGGGTGAGGGGGGGGGAGGGTTATGACATAGAGGGACGGACGACGTTGGGGGTGGTTTGCAGTTTCTAGGATCACGCAAAGATGCAATGAGTAGTTTGATTATATCACAAAAAGGTGGAAACCCCATTCTTTATGTCTTTTTTTGTTTGCACATCATTTGTTCGGTCTTTTTCAAGAAGATAATCCTTCATGCACTCTTCTGATATTAAAATGGCTGTTCTATTTTGGGTCATCTCGTGGCAAATTAAATTACGACCTCAGAAATGTAATCAGACGTATACAAGACACCTGAAACACGTTTACTGCAAATTTCCAAGGTTGTGAATGTTCGTTTTAGTAAGGGTGTTAGGGTGATACAATACATCTTGTGAGTGAGGAATATTCTAGGTGTTACTAGAGAAGTCTTGTGAGTGAGGAATATTCTAGGTGTTACTAGAGAAGTCTTGTGAGTGAGGAATATTCTAGGTGTTACTAGAGAGGGCTTCTGTCTTCACATGGTATGACTAGAAAGAGTTTTTGTCTTCATGTGGGTGCTTTTTACGCCCAATACGACCGTTAGGTGGCGGGCTTGTGACCCTGCCTGTGAGGGCGACCTGGGCTGAGAGGAACTAACGCCCCTGCAGAAAGACGGAGATACTCGTGGATTAGATAGACGTTGACGTCATAAATACTGCTGCAGGGAAAGTCTAGGAGAGATGAGGTACTTGAGAGGGAAAGTACAAGACGTTGAAACAAATACTACTTTTGGGTAAATCTGTGAGAAATGAGATTTTAAAAAACCCACAAGACGTTGACATAAATTACTTCCCCAGAGTACTTTTGTGACAAATTGAGACAGTTGAGGAAAATAAAACCCAAAATGTTGCCAAAGCTCCTGGGTAAGTGT